ATATATACACACACACACACACACACACACATACACACACACACACACACACACACCCACACACACAAACATTTTATGGTTCACTGCTGCCAAAACAAAATTAACGAAATATAACCTAAATCCTTCAGAAAATGGATACCTGACAGTGTTGATAATTTTTCGCCGCGGCAACGGAATTTAATCAAACATGTGCAGCAATGATAAGCTATGATGATGACGATTATAATTAAAGCAAAAAACCTCTTCGAGAGATTCACTCTTGAGCAGCTCCACATGAAGAAGTCGAGGGAGGAGGGCCTGACTCAAGGTCACTCTTGTTGCGGTAAAGGGGGGAGGGGGAGACACCGCTTTTTCAATTGCACCCACCACTTTGGACCATGCTCAAAGGTTGGATCGATCGTAGAGCTCGGTGACATGGGAGCATCGGGCAATGTGCGACGATAAAGACCTCCAACCATTTTCCTATGATTTAACCCAGTACTGTCCCAGTAAAATGAGACACAAGACCTTTAAAACGACCCAATTGTTTTTAGTGGCCCATTTAATGCATCTGTCTGTTTCACGCTTGACAGGATTAATGAAGCGCAACTACAGTGTTGCTGGCCTGCGTGCAGTAAGCCACAGAGATGTGAAACAAGCCATGTTGAATGAGGCGCAACAAGCTCCGTGGCCCTCAGTACCTAAGCGTACCGTATTTTTCACAGTATAAGGCGCACCTTCAATGAATGGGCTATTGTAAAATTGTTTTCATATATAGGGCGCACCACATTATAAGGTGCATAAAAAAGAAGCCACAATGGTGGCTGGAGTTGTGTTATGGATCCACTAGATGGCGCTACGCTCAAGGAGATACAATACAGCTTTATTCATTTAGAGCCGTCGCAACCGCAACAGCTTTAACAAAGCGCTTGACAGAACATTTAAAATACTACGTCCAGGAAATCAGAATATTTATCAGTATATAAGGCGCATCAGATAATAAGGCACGCCGTCGGGTTTTGAGAAAAGTGAATGCTTCTAGGTGCGCCTTATAGGGTGGAAAATACGGTAATCATCTTCCTGCACCTCGAAGTGAAGTGTGTGGTGTCGTGTGGCTAAGCAAAATTGAAAAAAAACAAACACGCAAAAGTCATTTTCTCATTGATTTTGCAATGAATGGGAAATTAGCAGAACAATTAAAAACACCGAAGGTTTAGTACAGCACTGTAAATACGTGCTCACACCCATGCAGGGATGCACTCCAAAAATGATCACTAAAACAGCTCTGCTGAGTTCTACAATAACCGGATAAGCCATCAATTACATCAGTGCAGCTCTGCAGGTCTCTGACAAGGCTGGGATCATCTGACAGGAGTACCGCCCGTAGCAAGCAAGCAACCTGCCAGTGTCGACATGCGGCTTGCGTTAACAAGACAAAAAGATACACCATCCAAACATCTTCAAGAAGCAATAAAAACAGCAGCATTGACCCCGCACCCCCCTCGGCTTAAACTTCGATCTAACGGTGAGACTGGCTACACAGCTGCGGCTCTGCAGTTTCTTTTAATCTCTCCTTTTTATGGCATCATCATGTAATCAAGATCCGCCCACCCGGGGAACGGCACAAGAGCGAGCGCCAGAAAATGAAATCATTGTTGTGTGTCCTCGCTGGGTGTTATTTCATGGCATGGCATGGGCACAACAGACGTCGCCGTAAAGCAGATTTATGAAAGCCCAACGTTGGAAGTAGCACAGAGAAAGAAAGGGGGTTCATATTGGCTGATGATGACGGTGAAACGTTTCATATTGCTGCTGTGATCTGTCTTCAACTGTGTATTGACATGTGTTGCATTAGCGTCAGTAGCTTTGAACGCTTTTAACTGATCACTATGATATGGATGGCATGGATCAGGAAGATGGGAATGAGAACCCAAAATAGCCTCCAGTCAAAATTGTCAGGAAAAGAAAATCAATCCTAACCGCGATGCTTTCATTTATACTCGCCGTTCACGGTGCTGATTGGTATGCTCCTCCACGGTCTCGTGATACATAATGAATATGTTGATGAATTGTGTATATGAGACGGAACAATTACATAAAACGTGTTTG